TCAGGTAAAGAAAGGAGCAGTCATGTTTATTTCGAGAAATAGGGTGTTATGGAGATGAGTCTACTTGCAATGCATCGTGAAGGATATGTGGGGTTTTTATTTTCTTTTTATTTTATTATTTTTTTTGCAGTACCGGGAATCAAACTCAGGACCTTGCACTTGCCAGGCAGGCACTTATGCCACTGAGCTATGTCCCCAGCCCATGTGGAGTTTTTGTATGACACTCCTTTTCTCCAGGAGGAAAAAGAAGCAGCTCAGACGCGACAGGCAGCGATCTCCATACGAGCTTATCAGTGCAATGTGCTTAAAGAGAGCTTCGGGCATCCCTTTTATGTCTCTGTCAAATGAAAGTGTTAAACAAAACCAATTTTCACGCCACCCTCACAATTTTACACTTGCCAGATGGAGGTATCAGCCATAGGATAATCAACTAATATTTTTTCAATTTAATGCTAAATACACTCTTTTTATTCACTAGCAATAATATCTGAAAATGATGGTTTGATGTTTTGAATATATATATTTTTTAATATATATCAAAATAGCATGACATATTCTTGAGCCTATCTGAAGAATACACCCTTGTTTTGCCTTATACCTTTGTTTGGATGTGAGAGCTCAGCCTTTATATTTTAATTTTAGTTTTTAATTGACAGATGGTGAATGGCCATATTTATTTGGAACGGTGTGGCGCTTCAATGTGTACATACACTACGTAATGATCAGACTGGGGCGAGAGGCATACCCATCATCTCAGACAGTCATCATTTTCTTGTGTTGGGAACACCCCAAATCCTCCCTGTGTGCAGATGGGGGTGGAGCTCCAGGGTAGAGCAATAAGCGTCTCTGTGTGGGTACGTCATTTCTCTTGGTAAATGCCTAGATGTGGAACCCCTGCATCGTGTGCTAAGTTTATGTTGAAACTACCAGTCTTCAGCTTCTACCATTCTACTAAAACTGTTGTTTATGTTTTGCAGGTTTGGCGAGGTGGGAGGAGTTTTGGGTTTTGGCAGTGCTGGGGAATGAACCCAGAGATATGTGCCTGCCAGACAAGCATTCTGCTACTGAACTATATCTCCAGCCCCTAAACCTGTCTTTGTCAAATCACTAATTACTTTCATGTTGCTAAATCAATTTTCATTATTTATCTTACCTATAACATTGGACACAATTGGCTTCTTCCTTCTCCTGGGAATATTTGGTTAGCTGCTTGCTCTACCTTTGTTCGGGGGATAGGAAGTTGAGACAGGGTCTTGCTACATAATTTAGGCTGGTCTTGAACTCACTATGTAGCCCAGGCTGGCCTTGAATTAGAGGCAATCCTCCTGACTCAGCCTCCTGAGTGCTGGGATTATAGATGTTCACCACCATGCTCAGTGCCTATACTTCTTCCTTGGTCCCCAACACTGTATTTACATGTAGTAGCCAGGGAGATCCTTAAAGCAATCAATAATTTCTCCACCTTCCCCTTTCACTCAGAGGAAAAGCTAAACTTCTTCAGGGGCATAGAAGTCCTCACTGCCAATGAACAGTATAGGAGGAGCAGCCTTTGAGAGGTAAGTAGGCCACGGCAGTGCAGTAATCAGGTCACGAGCCCCCAGGATGGGATTAGTGACCTTATAGGAGAGAGCTTGCTGCTTCCTGGGTCTCTGCCACGTGAGGACACAGGATGGTATTGTTGGGTATAGCGCACGCGCCTGCAACCCCAGGTACTCAGGAGGCTCAGGTAGGAGGGCTGCACGGTCAAGTGCACCCGAACCACATAGAAATGCTATTTCAAAGCAATATTTCAAAAGCAAAAGGCCTGGGGGCTGTGGCTCCAGCATGCACCCGCTCTGGGTTCAGTCCTCAGCGCCAGGGTAAGGGTGGCTGCCTGCCTATCAAGAAGAGGCCCCACCGGACCCCAGCCTCATCTGCCGGAGCTCTGGCTTCCCTCCAGAACCGTGAGGAAGACGTTGTTGTTTAACCCACCTTGTCTGTGGTCATCTGTTTTAGCAGCCCGAACTGACACAAAGGCCGCCCGTGACGCAATCCCCAGGGACCTCTCTGGGCTCTCCCCGTCTCTCCCCTTTGCCCGCTTTGCTGTAGGAAAAGTGGCCTCAGCTGCCTTGAATTGTCAGCCTGAGTCCTGCGCACTTTTGCCTCTCTGAGGAGGTGCACGCCTTGCTCTCTTGCATCCTCCCTTCTCTGTGCACCCTCTGGGAGCAGCAGGGCCGCCTGCCCCTCCTCCCAGCCTCCTCCCCTCAGCAGCCCTTCCTGCGTGCCATTTTCCCCCAGAGCCCATCAGTCTCTGTAGATCACATACTTAGTCGCTTGGACTTTGTAATTGTCTCTCTTTCTGCGCTGGAAGGGATGAAGACTTTCTGTTTTGTTCACTGCTCTGTCCTCGCGCTTGGAGTGACACAGAGCACCTGCCAGGTAGAAGGCAACTAGTATTTGTGCTCTTTTCCATGTCCTCAACTGTGTGATAAAAGCAAAAGCCTAAAATATCTTATATCTACACAAACATAATTCACCTCAAAATCAGGGAATAACATGTGAATTCTAACGTGTCATTAGAAGCCAGTGGTTTCTGAATATATTCAGAAAAACCAAGCATGTGTCAGCACCTTCCTATGTAAAATATAGTTTTTAAACATTGTCAGAGTATCCACCAGAGGGCGCTCGTGCTTTGGTTTTTAAAGAGAAAATCACAGCAGTTGACAAAAGGACCATAGGCAAACAGGAAGTGGATACTGAAGAAACATTTGTCTTTTCTGGAGTTAATGTAATGTTCGTTGCTCTTCCCCACCTATTTCCATACTTATTGTCAGCTTTTCCCACAAGCATATCTCTTTCTTTCTTTCTTTCTTTCTTTCTTTCTTTCTTTCTTTCTTTTAGGCAGTGTGAACGCTTGGAGCAGCATGTGGATAAAGGTGTCAACCTCAGACTTAACAGGGGCTGTTTCCTCCATCACTTCTAAGTTTTTTTTTCTCTAAAACTCACAACTGAGTTCTTTTTTTCCGATACCGGGGATCGAGCTCAGGACCTTGCGCTTGCCAGGCAGGCTCTTATGCCACTGAGCTATATCCCAGCCCTATGGATGAATCTTGATTTTTTTTTTTTTCACTACTGAGTTCTGAAAGTCAGCATGTTCCTCCGCGGGATGATGTGTTTGTTTGTTTGTTTGTTTGTTTTGAGACTGGGTCTCGCTGCGTAGTTGACACTGGTTTTGAACCCACTATGTAGCCCGGGCTGGCCTTGAACTCAATGGCTATCCTCCTACCTCAGCCTCCTGAGTGCTGGAATTACAGTCATGCGCCACCATTCCTGGATTTTTTTTTCTTTTGATATCACTGAATAATTTTTTTTTGTTTGTTTGTTTTGGTTTTTCTCCGGTACCGGGAACAGAACTCAAGACCTTGCGCTTGCCAGGCAGGCGCTTTGCCGCTGAGCTAAATCCCCAGCCCCCCACTGAATAATTTTAATTGTATGTGTATTTTTGAAACTTCCAAGGGTAAAAATATTTTTGTTTGTTTTCTCTTTTGGATTTTATTTTTTAAACAATAGCTGTATTGCAGGATAAATGAGAAACTGTCACCTGCACATATTTAATGTATACAATTCGGTGTGTTTGGAGCACACACAGACTGTGAACCCTTGCTACAGTCACAGTAGCAGACGATCCACCACCTCCCAAAGTGCCGCATGTCCCTTGGTTGGGTATAAGAACGCTTAGCATATCTACTGCTTCGGTAAATTTAAGTGCCTAATACATTATCATTGACTATAGGCGCCATACTGTACGGCAGATCTCTGGGTGACACATTTTATTTGGAAGATCTTTAATGATGATTCTGTGACTGGGAGGGTAAACCATCTCCTTTGTAAATAGGCTGCACGTTTTACCAGTACTTAACCTCACATGGGTACCATCTTCCTTCCCTTCTGCCTTCCAAACCTGCCCCAGGTTCCTCCCTGGCCAGTCTAACCAAGAACTACGTAGGGAAAGAGATCCCAGAAAATGTCATTCTCAGTCTAATCAAGTGAACACAGCAAACCCAGCAAAGCAGGGAATGGCACACAAGGAGGCTTGAGAGGGAGATGGACTCAGTGTGCTGAGAGACAGACAGAAGGTGAGGCTGGGGTTACACAAGCGAGGGGACCACTGCGGGGAGCCCAGCTGGTGTCACCTGAGGCCTAGTAGGTCTTGTCTGTTTCATATTGACTCTAAACTGCAGGATTTTAAGCAAATCGGTGGTATTCTGAATTACTCTTTACAAGGATCATGCTGCCTCTCACAGGTTGTAGGAAAGTAAGTGAAAAGTTGAAAAAAAGAGGCAGCAGGGAAAAGAGGCAGATGCTGAGGTTGTCCAAAAGAGAGACTGGAGTAGGCCTGTGCTGTGATTGTGAAGACACAGATAGCAGGGAGCCGGCTGGGGCCTCATTTCTCTAATGGTGAGATGCGGGATATCCTCCACCCAGAGGAAGGTGCAGCAGAGGTGAGCGGACAGAGGAGGCCTGGTACCTTCCAAGCACTGAGCTCTCTTCTGAGCCTGTTCTTCTCTCTGGTCCTGAATAAGAAGACTGAGATACAACGAGGTTGCAACATACTTCAGCCAAGGCCACACAGCTGAACAGCAGCGGGCTTCTGATCGTAGGCTGGGCCGCTCAGAAGCCAGCATCCAGCCTCCCAGGTGAAGGCCCTTGTGAGAATTCATGTCCATTAGCTGATGTCTGCCCAAACGTCACACTTGTCTGGCTTCTCACAAGAACTCAAATGTATAGACTGACGTCCTCTGTCCAATTTCAATTCTAAATTTGTCACATTCTCCATAAAAGTGTTTTTGTCCCTCAAAAAGCCCCTTAAAGCACTTTCCTGTCTTTATGTCAACATTATATCTCCTTAGACAAAAGCTAAAAAGCAAATGAATAAAGGATATGTGAGAATTACTGGTAAGCATGCAACAGAGGAAAGGTATATCCAAGACATTAAAAAAAAAAAACCAAACCAGGATTTGTTTTCTGATAAATCTCTGTTTATTGATACCACTGTTTTAGCAAAAAAAAGCCTCAAAGTACAAAGTATATGTGTCAATACTGCTTTGAGTTTCAAAATTATATTGCATAGAGCATGCATATGTCTATAAATGATAAATGCTCATAATGTGGGCACCAATATATTTATCATGGATACTTGGTGAGACTATGTAGTCTTTGGTTATTATTTATATACTGTCCACTTTTCCTGTGGCACACAGATAACTGGGTCTCAGACTCTCCAGTTATGGAATTTTAAAGATTCTTTTTCAGAGAATGACATAGAAGGAACTGAAGAATTTCATGAGTGCAGATGTCTGGGCAGGGTCGCCAGTGGGCAGCACTGGGAATCATCTGCAGTCCGAGGAGGGACAATATCTGGGAAAGTAAGTGTAGGTTTCAATTCCGGCCGAAGAACTTTCTTCCTCAGTTCACTGACCTCTCTGAGGAAGTTCCTGAACCTACATAGGCTAGCTGGGCACCACTCGCACCCCTGAGTTTGCTGTGCCTCCAGCTCCTGGAACCTCGTCACTGCTTTTCTCCGATAACCACAACTCACATTTGCCTGAAATGCGTTTTCAAAGGTCGTGGCTGCTGTGTTCTCTCGCTGCAGCTGCCCTCTCCTGGAGCACGTGGTTTTTTCCTGCCTTTATCTGCCCCAAGTTCACTCTGCAGAGCATGCTTTTTTTCCTAACAAATGTAAAGCTTTGCTACCATTTTTTAAAAAAGAATCTTGGTGGCTATCTTATTAGTCATCAGAAGCTAGAGCTTGTCAGGAAAGGTACTGAGGGAGTTTTTGTATTGAACAGAGAAAGGCAGGACTGGCTCATCTCTATCCTCTTTGCCTTGTAAGATTGTACGAGTTCAGATGTGTGGAATATTTTTGAAAAAGCAATCCAGAATACACACGCGTGTTCTAAAATGTGCTCCTTATTTGTTAGAGCAGCCGAGTTAACCTCCTGTCCTAACAACACAGGGGTGTTGCTTCATCCCCGGCCCCTGCAGTGGCTGTGGCCAGACACTAGGAAGAAAAGGTTACCCGGGGGAGACAGCAGAGAGCAGCGGAAGAGGCGCTCCCACTGCCTTCTCCACACCGAATGGTGGAGCTGAGGTCCAGGCCTTCAGCTGGGTGGCAGAGTCAGGAACTAGGGCTCCCGCACTCACGGAGCTGAGAGTCTGGTTAGAAAAAGAAAATAAACACACACTAATGAGGTAACAATTAAGTGCTCACTCATGTTGTGCTAAACACAAGGGAAATATGAATTTTAAGAGGATTTGAGCATCTGGCCGGTTTTAGAAAATATTTTATTTCGTTATCTGCAATGTCAGGGAGGGAACTCAGGGCACTGTGGTGTCAGGCGAGCGCTCCACCCCTGAGCGACCTCGCAGCTCTTGGAGAAGCTTATTGAGGAAGCACAGCTTGAGCTGAGCCTTGAAGACCAGATCATGGGAACTAGGCAAAGGGAAGGCATTCTCGCGGGCAGCTAGGGAAGAGGTGCACAGCCCAGTCTCGCGGATGAGAGGGCGTGACCTGTGCGGTGGAAGGGGGCGGGCGTGGGACTGGGGCCGGGTAGGGAGGAACTTGCTTAACTGAAGCACAAGGGAACAGCGAGGGCAGCAAGACAGAGCCAGTTTCCCAAGGCCAAATGCTGCTGATGTCCAAAGGCAGATCCCAGGAACGACCAGTGCGATCTCTCAGACACCCGTGTGGGAGGCCCGCAGGCTGACTCAAGTGCAGACACTGACAGCCGGGGCAGTTTGGTGAGATCCAGCTCAGTTCCAAGCTGCCTGGCTTCCTAGTGTGCAGGCAGGCGGGGGCTCGATGACATGGACCTCATAGTCCTCTCTGGAGGCCGCAGGCTGAGGCCCTGGACGCCCAGGCAGCTGCTGTGTGTGGGATGTGTTTGTGTGAACATTTGTCCAGATGTAGGTATTACTAAGCTGTGATGAAATTCAGTTGGTCAGCGGTAGAAGAACAGAAAGAACTATTGCCTCTAACAATTCTTAATTCTGGATTTTAAAATCAAATTTCCAGCTTTAGTTACAATTTCATAATAGTACTTTACATTTTCTAGTCAAATTAACAAGCCCGTGTTATTAGAGGCCATTACTTCCTAGAATTATTTTGGTACAATCAAAAAGAAATTTTAACACAAGGTACTTGTTGGCAGAGTGGGTTCTTATGTGGTCTTCTTTTGACGAGGAGCTTTGGATCTTTTGCCTTTTACAATTTTCTTGCTTTTTTGATATTTTTTCCCTTTCTTTTGCTTTTTCTTTTGGCTGACCTGTGAAGAGAGGGAGGAAAATGGAATGTTTCTGAATCTTACAATGTTTTCTTCCTGACATTATATTTGAATTCCCCTGGGTTATGGTCTTTCTTTATTCTCAAAACTAACTTAAAGTTGTCTTTCTCTCACAGGGGTTCCTTTTGATGCTATCTTGCTCACATTGAGGAGGAACTGATAGTCTTCTAAATGCTTTCTTTCATCTATTCTGGGTTATTACTGCCCTCACTCCAACCCTCTTACCACCCACTGGCACGACTGCAGCCCTCTGAGATTCATGCCAGAATCATCTACTGTTACCTATGAGGAGGTCTGAGGCTATGAGAGGGTAACTTGCCCAAAGTGAGCACTGGTAGTCCGTCCAATTCCAGAACCCGAACTCCCCGCCACACAGCATACGACCCTCCCCAGTCCTCGGCCTCTCGTGCAGGGTGCCCCCCTCATGGCCTTGGTCTGCTTCCCGCCTCAATCCTGTCCTCTTTTCACAGTAACTCCAGTCATTGTTTGAGGCTCCCTGGGCACGGCAGGCTCACTCGGGACTCTCTCCTTGTTCTTGCTGCCTTCTCTCCTGGTGATTCATGCATCTCTTAAGATCCAAATCAAGTGTGAGACGTCTTCCTTCACATTTTTACCTGCTTCTCTTACCTAGCAAGGTTAACTATTCTTTCCTATATCATTTTCAAAAGTCACATATATGCCTTTATTTTATATCTCTCCCACTGTATCACAACTGCTATATATTGTTAAAGAATATCTGCTACAGAAGCAAAGGTTTACATCTTACTACTTCTGTATCTGCAGAGTCTTCCATTCAGTTAAATGCAGTGTAAAAGGATGAAAATATATCGTCAGTGGATCTACAGATATTCTTTGTCTTCCAAAGTTACTTCTAACAGAAAGGACGTTCTGTTCCTCCTTTCACCAACCTGCTTCTCCCACTGCTTCATCAGCTGCTTCACTTCTGCTGAATCCGGGTTGAGACACGTTTGCTCCCCGTTCCTCCTCGTAGCACTGCCAGAGAAGCAGCAATGAGATCTCTTGTTTCCATTTCTAATTTAATACGTTTTTAGACATAATGACAATAAGCATGATTTGGTGAACTTTCTAATTAAACTACTTAAAATATAATAAAATGTTTTCCTAAAACAAGTTAACTGGTTGAATAATTTCAAGAATTTTTTCATTTATTTCTCTGTACAGTCTGAAAATCAGAATGGCCAACCATATATCATCTTTGATTTAGGTATAAAGTGCTTAAAATATCCTTTAATCAAACAATTCTCGAAAAAGGTATTAGCTGGGAAAGAATTAAAGACAAGACTGCCACAATAACAGTTTGACAGCTGCAAAAAATTGGAAATAACCTACATTTCTAACAACAGGGATTGATCATATAAATTATGACACACTCATCTGCCATTAAATTTGGCCGTTAAAATCACATTACCAGGGCTGGGGGTATAGTTCAGTGGTAGAGCATAGCTCACATATCTGTGTTCAATCCCCAGCATACAGACATAAGACAACTTTAGAAAATAATGACATTATTAAAGATTTACTGACATAAGAAAATGTTCATAATTATCATGTTAATGAAAAATGCAGGTTACAAAACTGTACAGTAGTCTCCCTTATGGGTGGGGGATTTCAAGACATTCTCTAGATGCCTGAAAACTTGGGGGGTACCAAACCCTATATAGGCTGCTTTTTATACATGTACATGATAAGATTTAATTATAATTTAGGCACAGAAGGTAATTAACAATAAATAATACTAAAATAAAATAATTATAACAAGATACTATAATAAAAACTAAAATATTTGAACATTTTATTTCTGAAATTTTCATTTAATATTTTTAGACCATGGTTGACTTGTGTAACTGAAATCTAGGAAAGTAAATCAGCAGATAAACAAGGACTACTGTATGTGGTACGTGATCTATGTGTGTATGTATAAAATCTAAAAGTATGTACATACAAAGCAAATGGGGGAACTTTGAAAGACTGTATACCAAGGGATTAATTATATTTATCACTGGACGATAGGATTATAAGTGATTTTTATTTTCTTCTGTTCAGCTATCAGCATTAAACTTTTTCTAGGAGCCCTTTTGTTTGTTTGTTTTGTTGGTTTTTTTTTTTTTTGAGACACGGTCTTGCTATGTAGTCTTGGCTGGCCTTACTTACTATGTAGCCCAGCCAGGCAGACCTTGAACTTGCAGCGATCCTCCTGCCTCAGCCTCCTGAAAGCTGGGATTACAGGTATGTGCCACCACACCTGGATAGGAACCCATTTTCAAGACTGCTTAAATCTGTTTTTTTCTGGGTTACAACCTGAATTAGCCTCAAATAAATATCATTTTCTTTGTTCTTGAAATACAAACATTTTCTACAATGAACATAATATTATTTAAGGAATAGGAACCATCCTTGGTTCCTAATCTCTACCAGAAATTTAATTTTGAGGAGAAGAAAAGAAAGGAGCAGACCAAGTTTACGGAGGGGCTAATCATGTGGAATTTAACTGTCTACATGGGCAAATACCCAGAGGGTAGCATTCATAGTAAAGTTAACATCTCTGCCAATACAGCACACGCCAACTATGTCTGAGTTTTTACTCACATGATTTCTGTTTTCTCGCAGGAAGGGCTTGGGACAAATTGTTTAAGGTCTTTCAAGGACTTGAGGGAGATCGTGCCACTGCCAGGGCCAATGCAGAAACATCGCCTACTCCTCATTACTGGGGTGCCTGTGAGAGAGAGAGAGCAGAATACAAGCATTTAGGTCGCTGTTTCAATTGAAGCCGTCCATCAAGATGATACATTTGACTTAATCGTGGCTTTTGCTATCATTTATTAAGTGGTTGCAAATCATCACCACAGAGTTGTTTTTGTTTTGTTTTGTTTTGTTTTTTGTTTTTTTTTCCGGTACTGGGAACCAAACTCATGACCTTGCACTTGCCAGGCAGGCGCTGTGCCACTGAGCTAAATCCCCAGCCCCACCACAGAGCTTCAAAGTAGGTATTTTATCCATTTTGTGGATATCAGGTTTAGGAGAAGTTAAGTGAAGAACAAAGATACACAGCTCTAGGGGCAGGAACAGGGTTTCAGCTCAGGTCTGAGTCCAAAGGTGTTATTCTCAGCCATTCTCCCTTTCTCTTTTGGAGGAAAAGAGATTTTCACAATACTCAACAAATTCCCATTACACATTAGACCCACTAGTACATAATTTATGTGTGCTAGGTGCACAAGTTTATTAAGCAACTTCCAGATCCATTTTTACCTGATCTTAGCTGAATGGAATTCCTGTAGGTGTGGATAGAAAGTTCTACTTATAACAAATTACCACTTCTGTCAATCTCTCCTGCCCAACGCCTAGATTTTTCAATAGTGTTTTAAACTATTGAAAAAAACATTTTTGAGACAGTGATAGAGACCACTACAAAGTAGCTCTGAGCAGGATTTAATATTAACCAATTGGCTTTCCATGTTTACTTGTGAGTTGTCTGAAGCTTAGGCACCTTGTCTGAAGATGGGCAGTAGACTCATAGCAAATGAACCTCTGAGTCACAGGTCACCGCTGAGGCCTGTGAAGCTGTGACACCTCAAAGGACAAGATAAGACCACAGCTGAGGATGTTTGGCTCCAAACCCAATTAACTACAAGGAGACTGCAGCTGCGGGCTCCACACTCCTACAGTAAATACCAACCTAAAAATAAGGTAGTTCTCTTTGACATAATTTACTACTTGGGAAAATATTTCCCAAGGTCCTGCTAGATTTCCTCATTTTCTTGAGTATCCTCCTCCTTTGTTTGAAAACCTAATAAATATGGGCTGCCCAGAGAAGTCTTGGTCTAAACCCAGAGAATATTGAATGGTGTAAGAAAGTCAGACCCTCCTGGAGCCCTGAAAGAATTTCAGTTGTCTCATTTATTTAAGTCTTCGCCATCCACTCACTTGGGAGATTATGGGCCTGATCTTCCCACAATAACTAAGGGTTATTTAACCCAATAAGACAGGGTCTTGCTATGTACTTCAGGCGGGCCCTGAACTCACTATGTAGCCTAGGCTGGCCTCAAACTTGCAGTAATCCTCCTGCCTCAGCCTCTGGAGTGCTGGGATTGCAGGAGTGTGCTACCACCTGGCTTTGGAAATTCTTTAGAATACACTATCTTCATACTTTTTTTAAAAATTTCATTCATTATGTATTTACTTAGTGCTTACTATGCCACCTTTTTTTTTTTTTGTACTGAGGACTGAACCCAGGACCTCACACTGAGTTGAATTGCAAGCCCTTTTAAAGAATGTTTTAAGCTTGAGACAAGGTCTCACTGAATTGCCTATGCTGACCTCAAGTTTGTGATCCTCCTGTGTCAGCCTTCCCAAACTGCTGAGATTACAGGCATGTACCACCATATACCAAGCATATGAAATGCACAAACTACTAAATTCCCACTTTACAGATGAGGAATCTGTAAGGCATTTGCCCAAGGTAACATAAATAGTAGATAGATTAGGACAACCTCTCTAATTCCTGGATTCTCATTCAATTAACCCTAGACCTATGTATCAAGAAACAACACCAACAACAAAATAATTCAGTGCATAGTTTTTCATTTCATTATCTGCTGCCAGTGCTGCTGGTTTCATATCCTTTACTCCAAACCACCCATTTGTGTGAAATGAAAACGAAACATGCAGAAATTCCTTCTGAGAGAGAGCTTCCCATTATAAATGTTCCAACATCCATTGAACACTTACTAGGAACTCACACACCTAGACTGAGACTTTTGTTTGACTTGGCAGCTCCAAGTCCTGACCTTTGGATAATCAACTACCAACATGCTCTCGCGAGTGACTGTTCTTTTCTGGTATATACGGACACTCAGTGTTATCTGGTGAGCCAAGAGGTTCTCATAGTGGTTCACATGTCTAACTTCACTACCCAGTATAACTCAAAACCCCTTACCTTGAACTTCAAACAGAACCAGGAAGGTGACACCAAAGAGGAAAGGAATTCCATGTCCCTTCATTGTGGTGGGAAGTTCTCCAAAGTCACTCCTATGTTGAATTTCAAGCCTGAGAAAATCTTTAGAGAATATGCTCTTGGGTACATTTATCTGAGAAACCCATTTCCCTCCTAAACCATGATTGGCTATTGTCCTTAGCTGATCTAGCTAAACTAACCACACACTTGATTTTCCTGGGGGAAACCCTACTCTCAGATCCAAGGGAATTTCTGCATGTTTTATTTTCATTTCATATAAATGGGTGCTTTATAGTAAGGGATGTGAAACCAATAGCACTGGCAGCCTTAAACACACAGTTGCTCACCTGGGTGAGGACATGATGAAATAGTGTTATGCAATAAGGGCTGGAAATGTGCTTTCCAGATGGAAAATACTAAAGTCTAGGTAAGTAATTCCTTTCTTATTTATAACATACTTTTCTGTATAATAAATGGCTACATTTACCTTGTATTATCCACCCTACAATTTAAAGCACTTTAGCTTCTTCAGGAACCAAACTGTTTTCTACTAGTGGTTAATTCCTTTTTGTCATTGCTGATACAGTTTATTTTTTAAATTCTCAGATCAATTAGCACAAGAGTTTAGTTGTGTGCAAGAGACCCAAATTAACAGAGGCTGAGACAGAAGCTTATCTCACTCTGGTAGAAGTGGTTGGATATTATGACTGTCTGTAAAAAGGCCCCCAGGAGACCCATCCACTGAGAGGTGGGGCTTTTGAAAGGTGACTGGATTGTGAAAAGGCTCTAAATTCAACAATGGGCTAATCCACTGATGGGTTCATGATCTGCTGACATTCCTCAGGGTAATGGAGGCTTAGAAAGGGCTGGTCTAAGAGGGGTGCAGGAGACCCCCCAGGGACTGCACCTTGTCTCTGGCCTCTGCCCCTTCACAGCTGCCATGAGGTGAGCAGCTTTCCTCTGCCGTGCCCTTCCATGATGATGCTCCACTCTGTGCCTCACCAGAGGACCAAAGCAATGGAGCCTCCTGACCATGGACCAAAACCTCTGAAATCGTAAGCCAAAATAACTTTTCTTCCTGTAAGTTGTTTTTCTCAGGCATTTTGTCACAGCAATGGAAAGCTAACAAAGTGAACAAGCACTTGTATGGTGGCTCTTTCCTGTAAGGTTATCCATGCTCCTTCTTACATTTATGCCACCATTTCAGGGTTGCTGCCCTCATGTATGTGGCCAACAGTGGCTTACTGCCACATCCATTTTCCAAGCACAGGATGGCAGAAAGGCACAAAAAGGCACCTCATTCCTTTTCAGTCCCATCATAGAAGTTGTACCCATCACTTTCCAT